TGTCATGAGTCGGAACCGGATTTGTGTTGATTCTGAATCAACCTAGGTTGATCCAGGATTCCGTATCAACGCAAGTTGATACGGAATCCCAAATCAACACAATTTAATTATTATGTTGATTCCGAATCAACCCAGCCAATCATAACGGATCACATTACTAACTATATTCATCCAATAAAAATTCCTTCCTTATTTAGTATATCGATATCACTTTCTTCCTTGCTCTCTTCCTTTCGAACTAACGCGTCTTTATTACGTAAAATGACTACCCAAGTACAACCATCTCATGAATGGCTTTCACAAGAAACATTTTCTTTGCTGCTCAAAGAATATTTATTAGCTAGAAATGAAAAAAGAAGAGCCAAAGCCTTGCTCACTCTTGACGATATAAAAAAATGTATTGACATACTAGAAAAGGGACAAAAAGCAGAAAATTATACGCCTAAATTTGGTTATTGGGTACGAAACACTTTTTATATTATGAGTATTGGAGGGAAACGCGAACTTTATCACATAAAAACCAAAAAACCAGTTTGTGGTTACTGAATCAATCAAAAATTGTACTTGCAGTGTCTTAAGAAACGGAACACCATTGAAGACAAGAGGTAAGTAATATACAATGATCATTGATATTGGCGATTTCTTTAAAAATCTTTTAGCGTTCTGTTATTATTTAAAGGTAGTTTCTTTTTATTAAATAGAAGACGAGTTTTTCTAGATCATCAAGGCTCTGCAAATTCGTAGGAGCGAAGTAAGACCCACCTGCTCCGAGACAGCAATCTCGCCTCCTTCTAGATCATCAAAAGTTCTGGTTTCTTTTGGAAAGAAGCAAAAGTATAAATGGAACGCAAAAAATTCGATTATTTTTTTCTTAAATAAAAAAGCAATTGTTAATATCGATTATATCATATTGATCTTTTACAAACTCGATAATGGCGATTTAGTCATTAAAGTTCTCGGATCACAAGATCACGTATCGTTACTTGAAGTCGGGGTTTTCCTGTTTCGTGCGGAAATATAATAATAAATAACGCTAAACGTGGATAATTAGGAAATCAGGCAATTGGGTGTGTCGGGAAGCAATAATTAATATTTTTACTTGATAGTTTATTTAAATAAAGGAAGCGTATAAATAATTCATAAATTACAGAAATTCGTGTTGGAATAATCATTTATAAGTTTGAAAGATTTGAAATTGAATAGAATAGAATAGAACGTGTTAAAAAAAAGTAATAAATTAATGAAAAACATATCTGAAAGTAGCGTGACTTCATTACTACCCAGTGAAATCAACAATACCTCATAGATACCGCTACAAGGAAACCTTCAAATCTCTCCCCTTCATTAGTAAATAATTCGATCCCGATCGCCTAATCTAAATTCTTGATTGTCACAATATACAGTAGCTCACTTAAGAAATGGAACACGGAAAAAAAATTGGTGAGATACGAATATCTCGCCATTGAAGAATTACGTGGAAACAAAAGTAAGTGAATTATAATTATATTCGTTAAAATAATGCACATCAACTAATGCAAATTTTATTTTCATCTATCATTTCCTTTATACACTAATATTTTTTTTAAAATTTTTTTAGCATTCCGCGTAATACGACCGACTTGTATAAGTAATTAGAAACAGCAAAGATAAGTATAAAAGCTCTTTTTATTACTTTAATTTTTGTAAAATACTTTTAACCATTCTAAATAACAATTCTAACCACACATTTTATTTGAAAAATGCCTCGAATCTTTCAAGAAAAACGCTCACGAATATTCACATTACGAGGAGGTTATTCGGTACGGGAAATCGCTGCTTCAGAGCAGGTGGGCCTTGCATCGGTCCTACGAATTTGCAAAAAAAAGAAAGAAACCGGAACCTTTGATGATCTAGGAAAAACTGGTCGTCCACGTCTTCTAACCGACCGCTATGAAAGATATGCTGTCCGGTTGTTAATGACTGAACAGTGCTCTACTGCTGTAGAGGTCAAAATCAAACTTAAATCTGACCTTGGGATTGACATTTCCGTAGAGAGCGTACGGCGAATATTCCGGAGAAATGGTCTATCCTCAAAAACTAAACGCAAAAAGCCGATACTCAAAAAGACACACCGAAAACGGCGGCTTGCTTGGGCAAAGAAATACCGAGATTTTATGGTTGACGATTGGAGATTGGTCCTCTGGTCCAATGAAAGCAAGTTCCAGCTTTTTGGATCGGATGGCCGTAAGTACTGCTGGGTGAAGGCCAATGAGCAACTAAATCAACGCCAAATCATCCCTACAATGAAGTTTGGTGGCGGCGCTATAATGGTTTGGGGATGTATGAATGCCGAAGGGGTGGGGCAACTCAAAAAAATCGACATAAAAATGAATGCTGACATTTACGTTGATATTTTAAATGAGAATCTATTAGGTTCACTGTCGGCAAAAGGGCTGAGT